ACTTCGTCCCCCCCCCCTCTCCCATGTCCCCCCCATTCTCGTCCGGCCCGAAGGGACAGGCCCGACGCAACGATGGCTGGAAGGATGGCGGGCGGGCGCTCTGCAGAACGGGGCCCTCGCCCGAGCGGCGGCCCCGCTGGCCGCACGCCACTCCACGGGGGGGCGCTCCCCGCAGCGGAGGGGAGCACCTGCCGCTTGCAGCGGCCGGCGAGGAGGGGCGGCGCGCACAAGTCAGGAAGCAACTGCTGGGAGGTCTTCTTGGCGGCGAGCTAGCGGGGGGGGAAGTGAGAAGGAGAAGGGCTTCTCAGAAGGCGGCAGATCTTCTCAGATGCCCTCGCGCCTTCTGAGGAGTGTCTTTTGTCCTCGGGGGAGGCTTAGAAAACTTCCCAGAAGGCCTGGGGACGTCCGAGACTTCTGAGAAGGCCTTCTCCTTCTCACTTCCCCCCTCGCTCGCCGCCGATATTCGTCGGAGAGATTAAGGAGGATTGGGCCCCATTGCGAGGCTGTCACGCCAGAGTGGGCCTCGGACTAGGCGGGATCAAGCTGGATTGAGCGGGATTGAGCCGGATTCAGCGGGATCAAGCGGGATTAAGCAGGATAAAGCTGGACTTCGGACCAGGGCAAGATCAGAATTTGACCTCCCAGGAGTTGCATCCGAACACAAAGGGGTGGAGGGAGGGGGGAAGGCTTCTTAGAAGAAGGCTGCTTCTTAGAAGGCGCCGGCCTTACATCTATAGATAAGGCCCGCACCTTCTAAGAAGCAGAGGTGCTCCTAAGCAGCCCTCCCCCCTCCCCCTTATGCGCGTGGCCGCCTGTAGGGCTGATGAGGAGGGGACTGGGGACGGGAGGGCGTCACTAGTGCAGCATCGTTGACACATCCTACTGTCAGGAACTTTTGGATAGCGTGTCGCGGCGGCGGCCTCGGCGACACGCGATCCCATGCAAACGGATGGCGTCTCGCTCCGCTTCGTGGGCCGGGATGCTCGGAGTATCTCGAGGTGCTGACGCCTGGAGGCCAGGAAATGGATAGCATGTCGCACCCAGGCGCGGTGGACCAGAGCCGGCGGAGCGACACGCTATCCCAAAGTTTCCGACCGTGCACCCCAGGTTTACTACGCTCTTCCTCCTTTCTCCTTCTCTCCCGTCGAATATGCTGAGTTCAGCCACACCGCCATTCGACGACGAGCCTCCCTACCTTCCTCCACAAGTCTCTATATGCTGGGTTCCAAAAACCCTGAGCCCAAAAACGTGCCCATCTCTTGGGAGCGAAGATGTTGTTTCCACCGCTCTTACGCTGGCTTCCGCAAACGAAGGCGGCCTCGTTTTACTTCCGTCATCTTCCGCCTACCTTCCGCCGGGGAAGAAATGGCAACTCCTTCGATCCTCGAAGGCGAGACCCTTTTCTGGAACGCCTCATATGAGGATGTACCACCCTCCCATCAACCCTGGACGAGCGGGCCGCCTTCACTCCCGCATACTGCTGTTGACGCATTTGATGTCAAGCGGTATTCTCTCCAGAGGGTTTTGTTTATCGGGACGTCCCGATTCTCAAGATGGAATGGTCGCTGCAGCGTTGGCCTCATATCAGGATCGGCGCTCTGCTCCTGTCGTTCCGCATGGCGCTCTCGCCCCAGCGCGGGCCACTTCTCTAGATCCGAATCGGCCCTTGTCGTTGTCGCCCCCCTCGCGCCCCTCCTCCGCCTGCCCCTGATCCTCCTACTCCTCCCGCTCCTCCTGCTCCAGCTCCTGCTGCAGCTGCTCGCGATCGTCACGCCTCGCGCGTAGCTGGCCGTAAGTCTGGCACGTCCCCCTAGAAAAAGGATTTCGGGCAAACAATGTCAAACCATACCCAAAAATAACCCGAAACATCAAAAAAATCTTCCCACAACTATTTTTGACTATTTCTGAAAATTCCTCCTGAAGAGGGACGGGCCCAACTTAAAACTAGCCCCTCCCCATGGGCCATGGGGGAACCGCGGACGGAGCACACGGGCCCAGAATGCGTGCACAGTCCCGTGGGCGCCGCAGCAGCAGCAGTGCTTCAGCACTCGCGCGCTCGAACTTGCCCCGAGGCCCTGCTCCAGCGAGGGGGTGGCAGCGCCGTGGACGGGGCCGAGCTTTGCCGCCTGAGCCCTGCAGGGGGAGGACGGGGCGTGAAAGACCGCCCCTCCACCCTCGTCGGCAGGAAGGTTCCGCGCGGCGCGCCCACGCCGCGGGCAGCAGCGCTGAGCCGCAGCGGCCGGGGGTCGGGCGCCGGCGTAGTCCGCGCCGGCGCGCGGACCCGCGACCGCTGCAAGAGCGCGAAACGAAACGAAACGTGGAGGCGCACAAGCTTGCCTCCTCCCTTTCTTTCTCACCCCCGCCTTCCAGCCCCCCCTCCCTTTCTCGTGCCCCTCCCTCGAGGCCTCTCAAATAGGGGTCCGAGTAGATGTTGTCGGGGGATCGTGCCGGATCGCCGCGGCATCGGCGGTACATCGCTGGTACATCGGTGACCTTGGCG